GAGGCCACTGAGAGCTCCTGAGGTTACAGATACCCCAGGACTTTTGTCCCATTTTAGTTGGTTCTTCAAACCTATTGCCCTACTTATGTTTTGAATTTTTTTAAACCAACACAGCTAACTGTCGAGGGTCAAAATCCCCTCGACAGCACATCACCTTGATGGATGGTATTGAAGACCATGAAGGGGGAGGAATATCGCCTGAGGATCCGGAGAATACTGATGGATTCCAGCAACAAAACACGGTGGAGGGTGTGTGTGTGTTGTGTTAGGACACCATGTACACTAATAGTGGATGATGGACGGAAGGCAAGAAGAGGGGGGGTAGAATGGGAACGTACATCAGCTACTGAACAGATAATAGTGCGGAGGGGGATGACGTCCTATGCCTGCGACGAGCATGAACGGAACAAGCGGCAGATTTGATTGTGACAGCTGTGAGAAATCATTGCCTGCCTAATGATAGTTAACTGTATCCAAGCCCTATAAAACAGTACGGGCGGAGAGCTAGGGTGTCTCCGACTTTGTTTTGCTTAGCAACTCAGTCTCTACTGTACGCTGCTGTGTTGCCTCCATTAAAGCAGGTTTTGGAACGAATCCTCCTTTTCGTGTGTGCATGTTCGTTTGCGTCTGGTGAAGCACTGGCGGCTCCAGAGGGGCTGAGACTAACACTGTTTTTGTAACAATAATTGGACATAACTGCATTGTCTGCAGTGTCTAAACACTAAACATGAAATCTCATGACTAAAACACCTGGCCTTCCATAAAATGTCTTTGCTCCTCCTGCTCATCTTTTGCTATCTCCTTGATAAAGCTCTGGAGAAGAATACTGAAGCTTGGCCATTCTTTTGATTTGTTCTAATAAAGGCGTTGTACAATCATGTATTTCTGATTTATTTTCATAATGGAAAACAACCTATTGTTTTGCTTGCTTTTAATATCTAATTGTGATAAAATCAAGATTTCAAGAGTCAGGTTAGTGGATAAGCAGTGGGAGGGAGAACCATTCACAAGGCCCAATGATTTTGTGGTTATGGAAGGCAACTGATCTCTATTTATTACTTTAGTTATAATTGTGTTCATTCCAGAAGGGGAAAAAAATGTTTGCCCTGATTTTAGTAGGAACTGTGCTGGGTTACTGATGGGTGGCAATTGAAATGACATTTGAAGAGTTGTGACAGTTTCTAGGAAATAAGGGTAAAGATGCTCAGGGGCTGGATGTGGAAGCCTCATATATATTTTTCCAGATTGAAAGGAGGGATTCAGATCAGCTACTAAACATCATCCTGTCTGTACAAATGAATAGCTGAGTAATTTGCCACTTTGCTAGACTGGAAAAAGTCTAAAAAACTGCATCTCTCTCTGTGCGGTCAAACAATATTTCTCTATTATCTGTATTTTTGATATTGTTAACACATAGAATTCCCAGATAAAACTACTGAAACATTAAATAGAATGGCACAGATTTAGACAAGAGAGCCAATTTTCTGATGACCAGTTCAAAGGTTTAGCTGAAAGAACCAATCACTTAATAGGTTTGAAGCAGTGGTGGGATTCAAATAATTTAACAACCGGTTCTCTGCCCTAATGATTTCTTCCAACAACCAGTTCACCAAACTGCTCAGAAAGTTAACAACCGGTTCTCCCGAAGTGGTGCGAACTGGCTGAATCCCACCACTAGTTTGAAGTGATTAAAAAACTTTATGAGCAAACTAAATATAGAGAAAGTAGTCCGACAAGTGATATCCATACAATCCATAGAAGGAACCATCAAGCTTTGTTAGGCAGGGTAGGAATAAAGTTCTGTTTGATTATATAGTAAATGGAATACCTTTCCCATATGATTTCTCCTCTCACATGATATTGCAGTTTTCATCTTTTTTTTACTCTTGTTCTAGGATTATCTGCAGGGGGTAAAAAAAAGCTAATATGGCAACGAAACAGCTGCTTATGGGCACTAATATACATGAAAGGGAAGTGGGGCCTTGATTACACAGCCAAAGTTGACAACTTCATTCACCCTCTATCCCCCCCAAGTTCTCACTAGCAGAATTTTTTGCCATAGCTATCAAAGACAAATCCAGTTTTTGTGACAGAAAGAATACTTCATTTAACCTCAGAGAGTAGCCCGTAGTAGTATTCAAAGACGAAGAGACTGCTTACATAAAACCAATAGAAGGATGATTTTTAAAGTAATAGCAGATTTGCTGTTTATATATATTTTAAAGGATGCCAAAAAGAAGGGCGATAATTATTCCAAAGAAATGCTGTTTAGAATATGAAAGGGAAAAAAAGTGAGTTGAAGTTAAAAGCTCTTAGATTTATGTTTGGAGTAAGAAGAAGTAAAGAGAAAAATCTAAACTGCAGGAGTATTTCAATCAAAGAACAAGCTTTCCAGCAAGTTACTGACTTTCAAGCAAAGGAATTAGGACATTCTGGCTTGTGGATGTTGATTTAATGTGTCCCGGGGAGACTATTGTTTCCATTATACCCTTGCCACAAAGAAGTAAGGAAATATCAAGAATGGAATCATTATTTATTTATTTCTCTATTTATTTAATGTCTATAGCTGCACATGACTCTGGCCGGCTTACAATTCTACAATTATAAGGCATGTTTCAGTCACTAAAATGTTGATGTTCTCTAAAGGGAGGACTTTAAAAAAGCAAGACAGGAAGAAAATGGATTCATTTGAGTTGTGATGCTGGAGAAGGTTCATGCATATTCCTTGGACAGCAAAGGTGGCAACAAGCAAGTACTGGAGCGCATAACACCAGGCATGTCACTCAAAAGGAAAAAAAATCACAAAACTGTGTCTTGCTTATTTTCACCACGTCATGTGGGGGAATTCACTGGAGAAAGCATTTATGTTTGGAAGTTTGCAGTAAAAGGAAAACAGGCTGTCAAAGAACACTGTCAAAGACTTGAAATTCTGGGCTTAGAAAATTTAGAACTATGCCGCCTTCAGTATGACCTAAGCATAGCTCATAAAATTATCTGCTACAATGTCCTACCTGTCAATGACTACTTCATCTTAAACCACAACAATGCACAAGCACACAATAGATACTAACTTACTGTGAACCGCTCCAAACTCAATTGCAGAAAATATGACTTCAGTAACAGAGTGGTCAATGCCTGGAATGCACTACCTGACTCTGTGGTTTCATCCCAAAACCCCCAAAATTTTAACCTAAGACTAAGCTCACCCCATTCCTAAGAGGTCTCTAAGGGCCATGCATAAGGACCGACCGTCCCTGTCCTAATGTTTCCTCTATTTGTATCTATTTTATGTATCCAATCCATGTTTATACTTATTACCTAATACGTTCTTGACAAATAAATAAAAAATAAACTATGGCTGGACCATCAAAGTTGATATCAACCAGAGCATAAAAAATGCCTCAAATAAACAATGCAAGATCAGAAGATATGGAGAGACTTGGCTCATAGGATCATCCAGAGTTGGACATAACTAAATGGATAACGCTGTCAACATCATCATGATCTTTGAAGGGCTTAGTGAAATTTGAGAAAGTTTCCCTGGATAGAATGAAAGATGAACCAAGCTGGCCATCACATTTGTGCTATATGCTAATGTGGGTAATTTTTAATCTTGGCTGATTGAATTTACCTGGTTGATTGGATTCTCACCATCCAAACATAACATACTTGCCTTATCTGGGTTTGCATAATATACTGAGTCACTGAAACCACAGTAGAACCCAACCTTTGCAAAAATTGCTCAAATTGCCCATATTGTTTAGATAGAGCTAATATTTATATAGAACACTTTTTGATTAATGGAGCTGAAAGTTATTGTACACAGTGGTTCAACAACTTCAGTTCTGAGTTGGGATTCAGAGCCTGGAGCAGAAAATTATTCCCTGTAAGACACAGGGGCACATTTGAATATGGCACATGTGTGTTTTTGCACAATTTTGCTTGATTTAGGGACAGATGTGCTAAAACGTCCTACTCCATTTCCTTTTAAAGGAAACTCAGTAAGCGTGGCATTAAGAAGAAAGGCACACGAGAAAAGGCAGAACTGAGCAATCCCAAGGCTCCCCTGTATATATTTACAAAAAGCCATGCCAAGGCAAGGACATATTGTAGAAAGAATAGATGGATGTTTGAAAAACATGGCACTGAGCACATCACCACTTGCCCTGGTTTGTTGGTTAAGTTTAAAACAGTCTATTCCAGTCTGATGTCTGCTAAACATGTTGGCACTAAAGCAGCCAGGATTTTCATTATATCCTAAGGATACCAGTACAGAGACAGTTGTTTGAAAGCACAAAGCCCTGGTGGCGCAGCAGACTAAAGCACTGTCATTAACTGTTATTAACATCAGCTGCCTGCAATTACTGCAAGTTCAAATCTCACCAGGCTCAAGGTTGACTCAGCCTTCCATCCTTCTGAGGTAGGTAAAATGAGGACCCGGATTGTGGGGGCAATAAGCTGACTTTATATAAAAAAGAACACCACTTAGAGGGGGCCGAAAGCCCTACTAAGCAGGTATATACAAAAGTATGAAGGCTATTGCTTAACACATTGTAAGCCGCCCTGAGTCTCCAGAGAAGGGCGGCATATAAATCGAACCAATAAGTAAGTAAATAAATAAATAAATATTGCTTAACACATTGTAAGCCGCCCTGAGTCTTTGAAGAAGGGCATCATATAAATCAAATTTAAAAAAAAAAGCAAATCTTAGATCTCTGCAAAATATGGGCATCTGAAATGTCACGTACATTCAGAATTCTGGATCCATTTTGATTTATCTCAAAGATTTCAAGGCTGCATGAGTTTGCTGCTTTCTAACTTAAGAAGACAGGTAAGCATTTTTTGCTGGCAGCAGAAACAGCAGCTTGGGTTGAAGGATGTGCACAAAATCAGGGAGCAAGAGAAGCGTGATAATGAAGCTCTCCCTGATGATGAAGGAGGAGTAAATTGGAACGCTCACAAGTTTAGCTCCTTGAAAAGAACATGTACAAGGCCTTATACTTTTATATCTTATTTTATTGCAACATGATATACTTTTTATCATTAACAACATGCCCAGATTTCAGGGCAGTGAGTTAATTTATCTGCAGAAGAAAGGTGGAAACCACAGATGCTCGGATGGTTGATCTGTGCTGTTGTTGTACACATTCAATTCTTCCTGCAGCTCCAAAGCAGACAGTCTGCTACCCAGTTGCTTGGAGTGGGAGGCACAGCTGTGTATTGGTGCATTCCAGCTGGCCTGGGGGATACGCTACCTAAAGGAGCCAAAGGGTAAATCATCTCTACATTTCTCTGTCTGCTGATAACCAGAATTGCTCACTGGCCAACAGCTGCTTTTACTCTACTGCAGGATTCAGAGGCTGGACAAGGTCTCTGTTGGACAACTTGTCCTTCTATTAAAACCACAGGAGAGACATTTGGAGAAGAGCTAGATAACCTTGAATGGAAAATAAGGGGAAATACATGTATAATAAACAGCTTGCATGTAAGAAAGATACACATTGCCTAAGGAGAGAGCTTCCACTTCTCACTGAGAAAGATGTAATTGCTGAAGGCTAACCGTTGACTTTCTAGAAGTGAGGAATCTCTGACTCTATAAATATTATGGGACCACAATCTGCAGCTAGCAGGTCCAATGATGATGGGAATTGTAGTTCAACAAATCCTGGTCCACAAGTTCTTATTTCTGCCTAGAGCTTTGCAGTGTGTGAGAGAAGCTACAAGTTGCATCACCTTGTGTACTTTAATTAGGGCACCGTTTAAGCCATTGTCGACATCATCAGCCATCCAGTCATGTCTGATCCTCAGAAACGAGTGGCTTATGGTTTATGCCATATCATAAGCTAAATAGTACAATGATTCACTTCCTTGATGTAAATACCGTGTAACATTCATAGGTTTTTATCTAGCTGTTCCTAAAGTTGCAAGGGATCATGAAAAGGGGAAGAGATACCCATAAGGATCTGGGTGAGATTGAGTTGGTAAATGTATCTTTGATGTGCTAATTTGCTGTAGAGTGAGGTTTGGATAATGAAAACCTTTGGATATATGCAATCTGAAATTTTCTAATACTAGAAGTTGCATTATTATTATTTCATTCCAGAGGCCCGTTTGATAAATCATGTCAAATAATTTAGTTTAAAAATGCATTTGAAATCCAAAATTCTGAGAAATGATACTGTTTTATAAAAGTCCTCTTCATTTTTCAAGAAGTGCAATTGGGCCCATATACTGTTTCTGTCACTCTGAAGAAACTTAGGATGAAATGTGCTGCTTGTTGGAGCTATTCTTCAGGAATCTCTGTGCAGAATGTAGCTATCCAATTCTCCCACTGCTAAGTGGGATTTTTGCAACTCTGTTGTTGAAATACCGCACTGACTATGAGCTACAAGTCCCAATTTAAGGAATTGATATTACTTCCAAGACCATCCAATCAGTACATCAATGATAGCTTGTGTGTGTGTGTGTGTGTGTGTGTGTGTGTGTGTGTGTGTGTGTGTGTTGCTTGTGGTCCTACCAAGAGGTTTACTTCCAGACTGTGGCTAGAAGTATTCTCAGTGGCAGCACCTCTTTGATAAAACTCACTCCTAGGCTGCACTTATTCTATTCTTTCTTTAGCAACAAAAGATATGCAGGTTTACCAAGACACATGTTGGCTAACAACTGGCTCAGGACCAGCTTTCTTAAACTTCCTTTAAAATTTCGGTATACTTATTGACTCTTAGGATTATGAATTTATTGGTGACTGGTGTATTCAACTCCTTGCTTGAAGACATTATATACTGTTCTTCTACATACTGAGCCAGTTTCCTTTTAAAAAGCAGAGTTGCGTTAAAATCAAATGTCAAAATTAATAACTGGTAAAATTTTAATAATTAAATTTTTAATAATGCTCTGTCCCAGAATATTTTATATTCTCCCTCCCTCCCTCTCCCCCCTCCCCTGTGTGTATATAAAACCTGATCAAGTTACTGCAGAGGTAGTTCATAGTTTTCAAGAAGTAAATGTTCTAGAAAGGGTTTCACAATCTTCTGGCCACAATTGAGAATGTTCCATGCCTGAAACCCAAGTTTTACACCCAGCTAGGATTTACCTGTAGTGCTGTGATCCTAAAGGAAATAATAGAAGGTGGTGGTACTTCACTCTTGTATTTCACTGCTTCTCTGTCGTGTCACAAAAACTCATTTATGGAAACGTTTCTTGGTTCCTATTAGATTCTCTCAGGAGGAAAGCTTGCCATTTGAGAAACCTCCACAAGTGCACCTCAGAAATGAAACTTGGAATGTTGTTGTTCTCATAGTGAGTTGGTGGGTGGCAACAGCACAGTTTCTGTTGCAGTTGTTAGGGGAAAGGGAAGGGAGTTCTTCTTGCTGTTTTCTTCCACTCATGAAATGCAGATCTTTTGCTGAAGGCCCCCTGTAGCTATGGAGTCTTCCAGAAAGCAAGGAGCAACAATAGCAGTACAGATGCTGCCGCAGAGCAGAGTGGCGAGAGAAGAAAAGAATGAATTGCATGTGGTAAGGGAGGTTACCAGTCAGAATAGTGACTTTGTGAAATATATGACTCAAGGTCACTCTTCCTACCAGAGCAGAGAAGGTAAACATTGGTGGTTGATCAATTCTACTTGTGCTATACGCCAAAGGAAAAATGGCCCCTCCCCAAGAAAAAGACATATGGCAGGATGGGAGTATGGGCTCTTAATAGGCAAATTGGACCCTTGCAAATCACCAACCTCCCATGCAATTTCTCTAGAACAGGGGTGTTAAACTCGCGGCCCCTGGGCTGGATGCGTCACATGCTGGCTACACCCACCCATGTTTTAGCGAAGATGAAAAATGTCATGATACGTCATGTGTTGACAACATGAGTTTGATGTTGTCACGTTGTCTAGAACCCCTGCTCTAGAAGGTTCACCTAGTAGAAGGTTTGTGGTGGTTTTGGTGAAAAAGTATCCCTATCCTCCCATCTCTCTTTGATTGAGCCTTTGCAGTAGATTGCCCTGAGATGGAAACCCCATTGTCAGAATATATCTCTATAAATGGCGAGCAGCTTATCAGAGAGCCAAAGCCTGAATGGATTTATGGGGTTGCCTCAAAGGTGGTTTTTTCAAAAGTCCACTGGACTTTGTTTTTCAATTTATGGGGGGAAAGTGCATTTATCTTAGTGCCTCTTGATTTCTCAGTGGCTTTCAATGTCACTGACCACATTGTCCTTCTGAACTAGTTGTGGAGTATGGGAATGGGAATACCATTCTGCAGAGGTTCTCCTCCATTTTTGGTAGCCAGTTCCAGTCAGTATTGACAGAGGGAAAGTGATCAAGCCATGGCCCTCGCTTGTGGGGTGCCTTAAGGCTCGACACCCTTACTCCTTTTATGTAAGTTCTACATAAAACTGTTGATCTGAAGGACCAGGTTGGTTCTCATCCTGGAGGAAGTCTGCCTATGAGTTGGCATTGATAGTACATAATCTATACAAGAAGAGGGAAATGGGAAAATATTGTAATTGAGGAAAGAATCTCAACGGAGGCAGCATATATTATTTTAATTGTATAATAATATAACATTATGGGTAGAAAGGTTGGAGAAAAACTGCGTATGTGTGTGGGTGTAGTACAAGTTGTGGGACAGAAGAACCATGATTAGGTTAATTGGTATAGTGAGATCATTGCTACATCTTTGACAACAACAACAGATTATTTTCTAACCCATTCAAATGTGGATTAAGTCCATTATCTTTAGAGCCTAACAGTTCCTTGTTCTTTGAAGTTCCTTCTCTTTCCCTGGAAGCCCTGGGTATGTGCCTACCTGACCAGTTTTGACTTACATAAGGCAATTCAGTTCTGTTGGGGCATGTGAGCCTGATGAAATATTTCCAGTGGATCAGGTCACTTGTTTAAGAATTATTAATGATCTCACTGTAAATCTAAATTTCACATTTGACATCTGTTTCTGGTTAACATCCATGGCATCTCCAATACTATAGTAGAATTTAGGAGTAGACATTTCAAGACAAAAAGAGATATTTAATTAATTGAGTAGACAAGAGAGAGAGAGAGAGAGAGAGAGAGAGAGAGAGAGAGAGAGAGAGAAAGAAATTGTGAAATAAATGGCCATTAAAAAGCTGGCAGACAAACAGTAAACTTGTGCCTGGCCATTTCGTTTGTATTTAATTGACAGGCAGCTTAGGGTGAGAACTTGTACAACACTTTCATGTTATCAGGGAAATACTTAATTGAAAAGGATCAAGGTTTATGTGCCCATAAATGAATAATTATCTCATTATCTAAATAATGTCCTCTTTCTTCAGGTCTGTCCTTAAATCCAAATTGTTCATGAAGTCTTTGTTTAAACTCTTCAGACCTTTCCTTTCTCAAACTGACCTTAAATATGTTGAACTAGCCACATACTTATTTTTCATTGTTTGACTTTTGCTTCAATTCTATTTTCCTTTCTTTATAGCCTCCCCTGGGAATATTTTACAAGTCTTTTTGGACAAAAAAAAATCACAGATTTCTGATTGCACTGCCCTAAATCACTCACCTTTTGATGAATCTGGATCAGGAATGGGTAACCTACACTCCGGCCCCATTTTAACGTGCCCCAGAGTTTCTGAAGATCGTACTACTAATATTTTGACCTGATTTTCTGAAGGCTAAAAATCAGTATACAAGCCTCCACTGTATTTAGCATATCAATTTCCTGTTATTCTTTCCCCCCACATCAACAACAAGCCTGACATTTTTACTACTTTGTGGAGAAACAATGTGGTCCTTGAAATCCAATTTTTGGACTGCATAAAATGTGGCCCCCCAACTGCAAAGGCCATCCCATTTTGTCCTAAATGGAAGGAGTTGAGAAATACAGCTTAACATGATAAAAAAAAAATCATAATCACAATGGCTTTTTACAGGGCAAATGGCAGCATAGTAGAATTTTATAGATAATGAAGGCAGCAATAAAGAAACAAAACATAAATAAGAACCCCATGCCACAATAAAAAATTCTGTAGATAGAACTGTGCACATGTACCTCATAATACAGTTTTCAAAAGTTGCTTTCTTTTAAAGTTAAGTGAGAATTCTGGTAACCATATGCATTCTAAATATGTCAGAATCAATCAGAATAGGGTTAGAAGGGACCTTGGAGGTCTTCTAGTCCAACCCCCTGCTCAAGCAGAGACCCTATATCATGTCAGATAAATCACTGTCCAGTCTCTTCTTAAAAAACCTCCAGTTATAAAGTTCCCACAACTTCTGACAGCAAGCTGTTCCACCGGTTAATTGTCCTCACTGTTAGGAAGTTTCTCCTTAGTTCTAGGTTGCTTCTCTCCTTGATTAGTTTCCATCCATTGTTTCTTGTCTTGCCCTTGGTGCTTTGGAAAATAAGTTGACCAAAAATGTCAGTACAACTATTTATTCTTATTTATTTATTAATCACATTTATATGGCTGCCTGTATTGACTGGAGAGCTTTCTAAATGTGATTAATAAATAAATAAAAATAGTTGTGCTGACACTTTTGCATTCAAATGAGATGATGTATTTAGAAAGCATAGCGTATGTTTATCGGAATTCTCACTTTAATTCAAAAGAAGGCAGCTAAGGCCATCCATATGATCCCATATACATTCTAGCCAATATTTGTCCACACAACCTACAGAACACTTTCCATTGCAACTGGTTTTTGGTCTTTTAGTTTATTTGGGGGAGTTACACAAATAATATATGGATTAAACAATTTCCTTCTCTCAGATCTAACCACTGGACACAATTTTGAGCAATTAGTTGGATCATTTACATTCCTGGTTGAGTTTCCCACAAGGTTTTCACCCATTTGCCATATTGTGAAAAAAGAAATCTGATACTTATACCACACAAAACTCTGGAATTGCCAGATTGAAGTGTTTACATGGACTTTTTTTCAAAAAGAAATCTCTGAATATGTTCTTTCTTCAAGCAACTGAACCTCGATTTATTCCTGGATAATTAAATTTTAAATGACCTAACTAAGATTTTAACAGCTTAATTGACCACTGATTCTAGCTTATTGTGCTCAATGCAGTAAACATGTATTATATATTCAATCAAATATGTTTACACTACATGACTAATATTGTGGGCTAAGCCTGGTGGGAAAATAAACAAAAAAGGGATGAATTCAGTAAATATTCCACTCCTATCAAATGTCCCCTTTTTAAATCAGGTGCTTTTATATAACATGGATGCATAAAACAGACCTGTGCAACTTGTCATACACCAAGCTAAAAGCAGCTGACCACCAGCCGTGGTATGTTTCACACAAGAGATTCAATCAATCTGTTAAAGAACTTTCGTTTGGTTACAAAACACTTTGCTGGGGTTATGAAATAAATAGAAAGGATGCCATTCCTGGCCGGCTGCAGTACCACAGCTGGATCATGTAAATGGTGGATGCCTGGCATAACATTTGGACCATATTGCTGGACGTGATCGTTTTACATATACTGTATAAAATGCAAATCAACTCTAGTAGGATCCAATTGCTCATATGGAGCTCAGAGTCTGATCCTATTGGCCGTAGCATGCAGGCAGTATCCCAAAACATATTTGGGACAGCTAAGGTTATCAGTGAAGAGCTAAAGCCACTTTTGCAAACATCTTTTGAAAAGGTGTTTCAAAGAATGAGGGCAAAAAACAAAGCAAAACAGAAAAACCCAAACAAACTTCTATGCATATTTTCTCCTAAAGGCAGGTTCTTTCTCTCAAGTCTAAGCAGATTCTAGCAATTATTTTATTGGACCTAGACAGTTAGAAGACAAATGACTTGTGTATCTGCAATAAATTTGCAGGTGGGTGTGGAGAAAAGTTCATTTGGGACTTTGGGTGCTCCTTCCAATTACTTAAATTACGTTTTTTAAATCTTCATTTAAGCTCTAGGGTGGCAACCGTCTTCATCACATGACACTTCCTGCAGACAAAGGGAAATCTTCTAGCTTTGGGAAGGATGCCAAATCTGAGCCATTAGTGTGAAGTTAGAGATTACTATTAATCTACTGCTCAGCAGCATGTTGGTCCTACCTAGATATGTGAAAGGCTGATAGAGACATCTGTGCACATGCAGCAGTAGCAGCAAAGAGTGGGAGAAAGCGCCTGCGTTATGAAGACTGATCTGAACCAGCTGTCCTTTCCTTAAATTTCTCTTAGGATCGAACATAAAATAACACTGATAGCCCTTTCTCGCTCTCTTTCTTTCTCTGCTTCCTTTAGACAGCCATGGTGTTTCTCTGGAATCAAATTAGAAACAGAGTCTTAATAGTTGGAGACCTCGGTGCCATTACAAAGCGGTATAAGAAAAGTGTCGGATGTAAACTACAGAAAGAGGAACCCACAGTGGGTCAGAGTCTCCATCCCGGCATCTTTTTCCCTCTCTATGTTTCTTCCATTGTCTGAATATGCTCTCTCTCCTTTGCTCTCTCTTTCGTCTACACCCCCCCCGCCCCTCGCAGTGGCCCGTATGCCCCCCAATGTCTTTCCTTGGCCGAGGAGGAGGTGGTAGGGTGCAGCGGTCTTTCGGAGATGTCAGCAACGGCTAGCCCAAACGACGTTGTCAAGAAGATTGCATCAAGCCTGTGAGACGCTTGCCTGCCAGTGACTTTCCCTGGAGGAACAAACAAAGGGGAAATGGGGAGGGGGGAGGGAAGGAGAAGCCAAGGATATGAATTTATCTTGTGATTAGTTGGTAACACAGGCCAGATTGCTCGGTGACTTTCGGAAGCTGGGGGGCAAGGACCAATTATGGAACGAAAGGTAGTTGTGATGACACATGTGGGGATAAAAGAGGCCTGAGAAAGATAATCAAGGTCACACTTTCCCTGTGGAACTATTTTCTGTACCAATTTTATGGCATTTACAAATATGATCAAGCTGCCCTTGATTTTATCCAAACATGTAAGGGAACCCAGTTATCTCTTTGCACTGTTGGAAAAATATGTCCCAAAATGACAACTTGGAAGTCTTGTACAAATTCACTCCCCTTAGGCATACAGGCAGCTCCATTATATTCATTAATAGGGAACACTGATTTTGGGGCACTCTTCCTCCCAATCTGCAAATGCCTACATGCTTCATCCCTCCAGATCTTCCTTGATGCGATGAGCATATTACTCCCTTCCCACAGCCTCTACTGCATTTGCATCCCACCTTCCTTTCCAGTTGCTGCAATCAACATCCAGAGAGATCGGCCTGGCTCAGATCTGCTTCATTGATATAACTACATCAAATTCTTTCCGACCTGTCAATGGATTCATAATTTCTCGAGGGCATTTATAAACACCCAAAATTCTCAAGCATGGTTAATTTAGAACTACAGGTGACATACAAAACTAAATGTTATATATTCAGCAAATATTATATATTTACTAAAACATTTCAGTAAATACTCCCATAGCAAGTGCTTAGTTGGTTACATAGAAGGATAAAGATTCTACTATTATTGTAGAATCTACCATCTACTATTCTCATTGTATTCATTGCAAAGGAATGACCCCCAACATTCAGATATCAACTCCCCAAAGGCAAACTAGAGGGGAAAAAATTAAACAGTAAGAGGGAAAAAAAATCCTGTGCAATGGCTGAGTCCCTCATATTGTCAACCTAAGCTGCCAATTGGCAATTCTGAAGCTTCTTTGTCTCCAATACTTTCATATCTGACACACTTATATGAGTATATGCTTTCCAAACCCCACTTAAAAAAAGACAGGAAGGTAGGGTAAGGAATGAATAAAAGTTAAGTAAAATAAATTGCCTGTAAAACTTACAAAATTAATTTACTACACACCATCCCATGAACCCACCTCCCTCCTCCAGCAGATACAATCAAACAGAAGGGAAAAACTGGATGAAATGGGCATAAGAAGCTTTGTTCAGGCATTACAGAAAGGGATAAAATCAGCTAGGTAATTAGCCCTATTTTTAAAACCACCCAGGCTTTGGAGCAGCAAGTGCAATTCTTTGGCACTTCTTCCCCATTCTTCTGCTTTCAAGAATTACCACGGTTCCTACCTTGACTAGGAGATGAGCCTCTCTCCAATTCAATTTGAGAAAACTCAAGCAGAACATTTCAAGGCATTCTGCCCTCAATGATTGCTCTGAGGTCTATAAAGGCCATTTCTTTCCACCTTCAACATTTCTATTTTAGTTTATGCAACTAGTGCTGCTCACAGTATAACACAACACACAAAAATTTATTGCATTATCTTCAGACAGACCTGAAAGTCACATTATATATCCTTTATAATGCTTTCTTTCCTCCAAATCAGTGTACATCCACCCTTCTTTTCTTAATTGGATCCCAATCATTAGTTCAGTTTGCCAATCGAATGTTAAAGATCTGATAGCTAGCCAGAGAATAGATGTACGTGCCAGATATTGCACTTAGTGATTACATGAAAGGGAGAAAGAAATCCTCTTTCTGAATTTCTTACATTTTACAAATGGACTCAGTCAAGTATGTGAGACTCAGGTTGGCCTTTGTTTCTCTAATCTTCTTGGAAAATAAGAATGGGGGTTGTGTGAGACAGAGTTTTTCCTGATGCCTTCTGCTATTATTTTTTAATTTTTTGTATCTAGAAATTTGTTGACTGTCCAGCAGAATGGATTAGGCAGGGTTTTAGGAAACATTTCTAAATGTTTCCTAATAAAAGAAAGAACATTTTGTTCTTTCTTTTGTTAGAAAGAACAAAATTGATTTATCCTTTCTTTCTTTCTTTAAGAGCTGATTCAGAAGACCAACATATAGCCAGGTTGCAGTAGCTTAACAAAAAACATTTATTGTGGTATAGTAATAATTTTGGAAATGATTTTTCTAATATACACGAGTTTTTTTAAAAAAAAAATTGATTTATATGCCGCCCTTCTCCGGAGACTCAGGGCAGCTTACAATGCGTTAAGCAATAGCCTTCATACTTTTGTATATTTATACAAAGTCAGCTTATTGCCCCCACAAACTGGGTCCTCATTTTACCTACCTTAGAAAGGATGGAAGGCTGAGTCAACCTTGAGCCTGGGGAGATTCGAACTTACAGTAATTGCAGACAGCTGGTGTTAATCACAATGATTTTAGTCTGCTGAGCCACCAGGCCCTTACTTGAGTATACAGGGTACAGAACAGTGGTGGGTTGCCCCTGGTTTGGACCGGTTCATAAGAACCGGCAGTAAAACCAGTGGGAGGCTCCGCCTACTGACCTGGATGTCATCATAGATGATCTGCACATGCGCAGAAGCTTCTGTGCATGCTCAGAAGAGCGCACGCACATGGGCGCAATGCGAACCAGTAGTAAAGGTAAGTAGAACCCACCCTGGTAGAGAACTGAACAAGCTAAGTAGGGCAAAGTGGGTATTTATCAGTAACTTTTTCCTATTCCTAGAGTAGTATATCCACCAGCCTGCTCTCAACCCAATCTTTTCAGAGCCTCCCCAGAATTCCATTAGCTGTCAAACTTCTTGAGTTTTTCACTCCTCCCATTTCTGTCTAGCATTAAACAGCCATTCTGTGCATGGACCAAAACAAACTACTGTATGTGTTTTATTTTGGGCATGTACCATCCAAAATTAGATGTTTTGTGCATAAAATGGCTTTTTCCTAATCCCCGGATAGTCAAATAAAGTCTGAACTCCATTAGAAGAAAAATGGCTTCGTTTACATTCTTCAGCATACTGTAGGCCCAAATGATGTTTAGTGCTATACCAATCTTAGGTTAAGGTTAAAAGTGGAGAGAAATTCACTTTGCAATTCAAACAGAACTTTCATAATTGTCTTTACATTTTGCTAAAAGGAGACTATTTTTTGTAGCTACACCATAATTAATCTCAGTAGTCCTAATTCCTCTATGTTTTGTAATTTCTCAATAGCTTAAGTACAGATAGTCTTTGACTTTCAATCACAATTGGGGTCAGAATCTCCATTGCTAAGCAGGGCAGTTGTTAAGTGAGTTATTTTTCCGCCTTTTTTCCCCCCCCCTTTTTTTTTTTTTTTTTTTGCCATAGCTGTTTACAACATCACTGCAGTTGTTAAGTTAATCATGCAGTCATTAAGCAACTCTGGCTTCCCCTATTGACTCTGTCGGAAGCCAGCTGGAAAGGTCGCAAATGATGATTGCATAACCCTGGGATGCTGCGATCAACATAAATACATGCCAGTTGCCAAGCACCCAAATTTTGATCATGTGACCATGGGGATGTTGCGACGGTCATCAGTGTGACAAACAGTCATAAGTCACTTTTTTCAGGGCTCTTGTATCTTTGAACAGTCACTAAACGAATGGTTGTAAGTCAAGAACTACTTGCAGTGGAATTTGGCCCAAATAAGGAAGCTTTCAAAATGGTCTTGTTAGTTTCGATTCATTTGTAGCCAGCTTCAAAATCCTTAAAGATCTCAGTGAATCTATGATTGTCTGTGAAGGAAAAGGAAAAGCCTTCATTTTAAAGTTTTTTAGGAAGCGGCTGTTACTAATGGAGTCCAGAAATTCTGAACCTTCTGAAGGTACAGCTTCAAATCTTGCATTGCATATGGCCCAAAGAGATACTGATACAGCTGTGTAGCCCCTCTCTGAGGTATTCTCTCAATTCAGATTTGAGAGTCTATTTAATGTCTCTTCAGGTGAGACACTCCTCAAATTCATACTATACAATGATTGCAGGGGTGGGTTCTACTTACCTTTACTACCAGTTCGCAACGGGATCGCGTGCCTGTGCTTGCTTCGCTCACACACGCACCTTGCTTCTGCACATGCGCAGAAGCTTCTGCACATGCGCAGATCGCTTCTGATGATGTCAGGGTCAGTGGGCGGAGGGTCCTGCCAGTTTTATTACCGGTTCTATAGAACCGGTCCGAACCGGAGGCAACCCACCACTGAATGACTGCCATTCTCTATCCAATGCAAAGAAAAAGAAAAAGTATATGTTGCCTCGTGTCTCTATCCAATCCTTATTTTTAAAGTTTATTTTTTTGAGGATGAGATCCCAGAAGACATGTTTCCACTCAGGAGATCATCAAGATAAAATATGATATCTTAAGAATTTCAAGAGATTATATTTCTTGGGGTTAAAAGCTATTTCTTAATTCAGCCGTATACTACACTGGGCTTCTTAGAAAATTTACTAACACAAAGCCTATCTGCAGTATGACACACATGCTATTGAAACGAAACAGACCACATTTCCCATTTGTTTTTAACATATGATTTTGATACAAAACTAAGGGCCATATCCTTTTAAAGTGGTCTTTTATTAGAATTAGAAGGAAAAGAAAGAAAAGATACACGTTGAAGACACATGAAGAGTAATATAAACCGGAAAAAAAAAAGTTTAATGCCAAACAGAAGATTTTTAAAGCAGAAACCAAAATAACAGCAGCAACAGCAATAATGGCAAAAGAACATAAAATCCGCACAGATACATTTACATAAAAAAAGATCAAAGGTGTTAAATTAGTATAAACAGAATGAGAAAAGATGACAACAGAAGATAGACAAAATTTAAAATATATAGATACATAAAACAAAAGCAAAACAAATACACTGAAAGCTGAATATTACTGAATATTACTTTAAAAGAAAATATGCCTATTTTTCTAACTGCAGTAGTCCAATTAGCAGTTCACTTCAAGAGCCATACAGGTGTTGGGTTAGGTTGTTTCAGAAGAAGGCAGCAGGCTGGCCCAATAAACCTTTAATTTGAAATGCCACTTAAAGGCTCTTGCAGTTAGGTTTGGTGTTTCTAAAGTATGACCATGTATAATGTCTGTGACAGAATCCAAGACATTTTGTCTCCACTGTGTATATAGAGTTGTCGCCCACTTACAAAAACTGTAATTTATTTTATGTGATTCATAGGGGTTATTTTAGTCAATAAGCTGCTTCTGTGGTAAAACTTGTAAACATGTCTGCATAATTGTAAAAAAAAAAACCTCGTCTGTTTATGTGCTCCCTGGGAGGTAATGCTGTTCGCAAATATTGAGTATATGTGTGTGTGTTATTTCCACAACACAGAATACCTATGGATGTATTTGAAAGAATTAAACTACCCTGCCCCTGTATCATGGATCTCAAAAGGCCTCTAAACAATCATATTTTCAGCACCAGAGGTATATAATTTCATACCGAATTAGTGCTTTGTAGGTGCACTTTAAAACAGAGAACAGATAGTCCTCAACTTACAACAGTTCATTTAGTGACGTTACAACGGCACTGAAAAAAAAGTGACTTACGACCATTTTCACACTTATAACCATTGCAGCATCCCCATAGTCACATGATCAAAATTCAGATGCTTGGCAACTGACTCATATTTATGACGGTTGCAGAATCCCAGGGTCATGTCATTACCTTCTGCGATCTTCTGTCAAGCAAAGTCAATGGGGAAGCCAGATTCCCTTAACAACCATGCTACTAATTTAACAACTGCAATGATTCACTTAACAACTGTGGCATGAGAGGTCATAAAATGGGGCAAAATTCACTTAACAAATGTTTCATTTAGCAACAGAAATAGTCGTAAGTCAAGGACTACCTGTAGTGAATTACCTTCATTTTTCAGATTTGTTTAAACCCCACAACAATGGGGTAAGTTGGGCTAAGACATAAAACTGGCCCTAAGTCATTCATTGACCTTCCCTGAGTGCATCCCTACTCCAGCATCCTAACTATATACTATATGGCAGATGCATTTTCAAGTTTCCCAACTGGTAATCCAGAACAATCAGAATGAATAATAACAATTGAAAGAATGAAGATAAATATATAGTATTGTAGTGGGAGACACAAAGACATCACTTTGTCAAGCTATAAATTGAAAATGTATGGCACTCCAGGTGTTGAAATATAACTCAGCAAAACCTGGACACATTGCTAACGATGAGAAATGTTGGAAATTGAAATGCAGTCCCACGGACAGACAGTTTTCTCATCCCTCTTCTGTGAGATGTAGGGAGAGCCAGGATTGATAAAATGAATATATTACTTAGTCATGATATTTACTGTCAAAAGGTCAGTGATGGCTTCCTCTTTAAAGGGGGAGCAGGATTATAAATCTCTACTATGTCTATTTACCTTAGAGCATCTCAGAATTGTGGGGAATGATAGGAACTGAAATCTGACATATTTCAAGATCACAAAGCTGATAAAATCTGATCCATATTCTATCTCTAGAATCAGAGGCATGCATTTCTGACTTGGCCTGGTCCAGCAAGTTTCTTGTGTTTTTAATGAATGGAGAGTATTTTATTGAATAGTTTCCCCCAATTCTTATGGTTGTCTAAATTCATATAGTAATTTAACTACTCCAATACAGTACAATTTTTAGCCCCTCTCCCATCTATCCAATAGAAACTGAATAAATAAGTAACATAGCTTAGGATCAGATCATCTAAGGGACCATCTTTTCCCAATAATTTTTACCTGTCCAATTTGGCCTAGCAGATTGGGGATGTTATGAGCCCAGTCAGCCAAGGAATGTTGGCTGATGGAAACCAAAAGTTCTGCCTTCTTAGCAGTAGATCCTGCCCTGTGGAATATTCTTCCTTCAGGATGGCCCTGACCTGGTTAGCCTTTCATAAGACTCTAAAGACCTAGCTATGTCCCTGGAGACCTGAAATTGTAGGGGAATCCATTACCTTCTTGCACTGTTAATTTTTATGTAATTATTATGATAATTCTCATTTGCCTACATGTATTATTTATAACTTTTTCTGTTTTTATGGTTAATTGTTGTGATATTGTTTGCCACCCTGAGTCAGCTGAATTGAGATGGGTGGCTACAGAAATTGGATAAACAAATAAAGCATAAGTAAAATTCAGCATATGCTTCCCATATCTCCTGTTTTCATGGAATTTCGCCTCATTTTCTGAAACAATTTGCCAAAGGGCTCTAGAAGCGACTGCAGTAGAAAAAAGCATTTTTAATTAAATGTGTGGAAGCTCTGTCTTTTTTTCTTTGCCCACAATAGGTCATAGTATTTTTGCTTTAGTCCTTTGGATTCCCTTCTATGAATATTTGAGAAACCTATGTTGGTCAACAGAACTGTAACAGATTTTTAACACCACAATTGTATTCTGTGTTGATAACAAATAAAAATGCTTAGTTGGCCATTATTGAGGGACTGATTGGAAATAATTCATCAACCACTGATAAACCACATTGAAAACGAGACACCAAGAAAGGAGTGTATCCTAATCCATGCATTAAAGTCATTGTTTTGTGTAAACTAGCATCCATAACATACTTACTTGATATGCAGAAGAATCCACAACATATCATGTATCAATGCTATGGAAATAAACAGAAATCTGATCCTTTGCAGGATCTCTACCTTCTTCTGAACCAAACTATTCCACCCTCTTTTTCTGTAAGGGCAATGTATGTGGAAGCATTGTGCATGTTACCAACATTGTATGTGACTTTGCAGAGGAGAGAAGCTCTGTGTGCATCTTCCCTATTCTCATCAAGGATAACTTGAAAAGGGAGAGAAATGTCATGGGAATGGGACTCTCTGAGCAGGGGAAGGAGGGAGAAAACCAGATACTATCCTGTTTTGTGGGGACCTTTCTATTGTAGATTAGAGAGCTGGCTGTTTAATTTAAATGTGGATCTTGAAATTCTGTCTTTTTATTGCATTGCCATAACTGAAGGATACTACAGAGGAGCTAAAAATAATAATAAAAGTTTTCAAAATAATAGAAAATGCTAAACAGAAGAGGAAAGAGGAACAAACATAACTAAAAACAAATGAACTTACCATACTGCGAGTGAATTTTTCTAGGGAAGTTCTACGACCTTGCTCATTCTCGGGCTTTAGAAGGGGAAACAAAAGTTAAGAAGGGGGGAAAAAATGCCAAAACTAAAAAGAAATCAGAACAAAAACAAAAACAAAAATTAACCCCTTCAGCTTACTTTGACGTTAGAAGTGTTAGCAAAAGAAAAAAAATTAAATATCTCAAACATAGGGTAAGTGCTGTTCGCAAGAGCAAAGAGCAAGAGCAAACTTTGTGCAATCATTCGGTAGCTGCTTTTCTTTTGGGAAATGCTGCCCTCCTTTTTTAAAATATAGCTTTGGACATGTAGCCAAAGTTACATATACCCAAAAAATGGGATATAATGATGATTTCTGCATCTGTCATGTGTCTGTAAGACTTTCAGAAGAAAACCAACATTTTTTCAGTCTGGATTTATGATGCAATAGCAATAGCACTTAGACTTATATTCCACTTCACAGTGCTTTACAGCCCTCTCTAAGAGGTTTACAGAGTCAGCATATTGCCCCCAACAATCTGGGTCCTCATTTTACCAATCTTGGAAGGATGGAAGACTGAGTCTGGTGAGATTTGAACTGCCAAATTGCAGGCAGCTGGCAGTCAGCAGAAGTAGCCTGCAGTACTGCATTCTAACCACTGCGCCACTGCGGCTCTTAATCCACTCTCTCTGTCTCTGTATGTATGCAAGAATAGCCCGAGGTAGAACAGAATAGAATAAGGGAGGATATGATGAGCCTTGTCCTATTCCCTCTTTCCAAATTTATTTATGTGGACATTTCTATTGTACCTTTCAATGACAAAATCAAATCCAGGAGACTTACAAATAAAACGATACCGTGTTTCCCTGAAAATAAGACCCTGTCTTATATTTTTTTGAACCCTGAAATAAGCACTTGGCCTTATTGCCATGCGCTCAAAAGCCCGATTGGGCTTATTATCAGGGGATGTCTTATTTTGGGAAAAACAGGGTACTCCTTTCTGATGTGCTGGATGTTATATGAAAATTGATTGGGTTATCTGTTTTTTGCTTAACTTGATCCTTTGGTGTTCTACTCAAAATGAACCCCATTGTGTGGTCAGCTAGACTTACTCCCAAGAAATTATGCATAATGCTGCTGTTGGCATAAAGGTTTTGCCAGGCTACATACAAAACAATCAAATTACTATTATTTGCTATTTTTGTTATTTGGAAGCTGTAGCTATAAAATACGGGAATTTTACTATAATAAGAAATTCACCAACGCTATAGCTGCATTACTGTTCTCCAGAGAAACATGATTCAACTCATCTGGCATAAAACAAATCTTATTAAATATGAATGAAAGGGTAATTTCCCAGCAAACAGGCCATTTAGTTGAATAAAGGAATTGTAATGTTCAGGGGCAAACCCATCAAGAGATGACCTAAGTCAGTTCATAAGTTTCAGGGGTGAGAGATGGATTTGTGCATACATTTGGCATCATGACTAAATCAGCACAGAATTTTTTTTATGAACAGAAAAACAAGCGCCCAGTTTTAGTTCCTAATTTCTGTTCGTGTCATACTTATTATTATATCATTTTTCCCTACTAGCCCTTCCAATTTTCCCCAAACTCAAAATAGATTATATTAAACTTGGAGAAAGTTAGTGGTTTAAAGTCATACTCAGCTTTCATGGTTGAGAGTGAAACCGAAGCTGGATTCCCAGGACTTCCCCTACCTCCTCAGGAGAAAAAAAAAAGCAATGGTATATAGCAGGGAAAAGCATAGTGACTCTAACTGCAAAGCTTCTCTTTGTGTGCTAATTAAAAAAGCAAAAGAAAACACAACTTTACTTTTGAAATAAATGGGTTCACAAAATATACAGAGGACAAGAGTACAGGTGGTCTTGGCTGAGAGACTACTTGTTTAGCTGTTTAAACTGACCATAGTGCTGAACAAGTAGTACTTACAACTGGTCCTCATTGTTTTTGTTCATCGCAGTATCCCTGTGGTCATATGATGACCATCTGTGACCTTATTTGCTGTCTTCTTGTAAGCAAAGTCAGTAAGGAATCTGGCAGGAGGTCACAAATGGCACCAATGTGATGTCCTTGTTTAACAACCTGTGGTGATTCACTTAATGATGGCAACCAGAAATGCCAGAATTTCTGTTGCGAAATGGTCATGTAACATTGTGTTTTATGATCATGTCACTTAATGGTGGAAATTCTGGTCCTAATTGCTATAATTAACCAAGGACTATCTGTATAAGTTAAGTGTTTTGGAAAATTGTCTTTCTTGCTTTCCAGGGCTACTATTAAACTCGTCCTGGTTGCAGAAGTATAAAGATCTCTCTATATATAATGACAGATTTGTATACATTTATTTTGATTTAGGTTCTTGTGGAACAAGAGTAGAAAAGGGAGATAGAAGATTGATTCTCTGATCTGCCTTAAATGGATAGCTTGTCCTAGCCTAGTGAACCTCGGATGTCACCTATTAAAATTTCCTGAATTTCTTGCTAGCATGGTCAGTTATCATGGTGGCTGGGAAATGTGGGAATTGTAGTATGACACAGATTGAGGAAGACTGAGATGGAAGAAACATAAATGCTTCATCACAACAGCTTTTAGGGAAATAATTCTAGGGTACTTTTATCAAACCTCCAGATGTTTGGACAATGGAATTTGTTGATACCTAGAATGATATAATCAATCAATGGAACTCATTTGGCACAGACATAACCAGAAAAGAGGTATGCAAAGCAGTAATTATGGGCTTTCAGATATGATACTATGAGGAATGTGAAATTATTGAATTGTTGAACTTTTCTGTCATATTATCGTTATATAATTTTATCTATAAAAGGACATTTAGTTGCTAGGGCTAAAGCTGCATTAACATAGCTTTCAGAAATTCTGTTTCCAGAAGCCAGTGTACTCATATTTCCTTTCCTAACTCTTCTTGCAAAGCATTTAAGTAGAAAAGAGGGGGAAAAAAGATTCCACATCTGCAACAGTTAAAAAAATATGGAAGCAGGAGAAACTTTCAAGTGATACCTACATATATTTGCAGATGGAATTCTCATCGGAAGCACTGCAGGTTTTTATTTTTTGAGAACTGAAACCTGTGTGCACCTGAAATGGATTGGAGCTCTGTGTGTTTGTGTGTGTTTGAGACCAAACCTGCTTAGGTGCCATACTCTGTAAACACTAATGTAATGAAGCAACTGTGAAATTAGAAGGTGCCAGTTTAAATGTCAACTGCATGTGAAACCGCACGATGTTCATATGATTGTATGCTGTTTTAGTCTTCCCCAATTTTCCAGCACTGGTTGGAAATTCTAGGATATGCAACATATCAAAAGGTTGTCAAATTAGGGAATGCTGCAACTGTTTCTTTCCCACTAACACTCTCTGCTCTAGGCCATTTTACACCATTGGAATTGGCCTACCATGGCTAACTGGTTGAGTGAAGGAACATCAAACTTTGATAATCTTGAAAATCTACTATAGTTGTTTTGAGCTTACAGCCCTAAACACTATACTAATCCTAAAGACTATAGATCCTAAAGTTTACAAACAGAACAATTCTATCCATTGGAGCCTGGATGCAATATATTTAATTACTGTAAAAATAGAATCCACACACATAAATAGACAAGGATTAGCTCATGTAGTTTTCAAACATACCCTTCTCCTTAAAATGTAAGGGAAGGGACTGTGGCAACCAACCATTGGGCATGGTTACCCAGAGTTAAAATAATTAGGAAATCCTTCATTCTAGTTAGCTGCAGGAAATGAGAATATGTGGGTCAATATATTTACTTTTTTAGCTCTTTGCTCTTCCTTTCTTTTCTCTGCTCTCTGTTCCTTCTTGCTCCAATCTACCAGCACTGAGTCCTTTAAAGCATCTATTGTCAAAGAGTCATTACCTCACGTATGGACATTCTTGAAAGGGAAATAGATACATGGGTTTAAAACTACCTAGGGCTAAAATTGAGCTTGCAGTAGCAATAAAACCTCACTATGAAAAAAAAACCCCATCAATTAATTGGAACTAATCTAAGGAATAATTATCACAAGCCGTGTATAGATACACAAAAAAAGGGGTCATGATGAGTGAATGCTATACGAAGAAGAAAAAATGATGTTAAAATAACATGGTTTGAAATACAGTGTAATTTTGTTTTAATTGGCTAACTTGGAGAAGTTGACTATTATTCATAAATGTTCATTGCCCACATATACAAGTATGTCACTGCCATTATTACATTATTTGTGTAACGATGTTATCTTATATATGATGGAAATGACTTAATTTGCATTATATCAACAGGCCTGCCTGAAGTCTCTTTCATCACTGCTAGATTCTTCAATTCCACATTCTGATAGATGAGACTAACTTGGATGAGGCCTATTTGACCCTTATGTCAAGAAAGATAAATACTTGCAGATCACCTTTTTGCCCATTCAGCTTTCAGAACAATAGGGAGGCATCAATTTTAACTAAGTCAACATTTTTCCTGCCAGTCAGGATTCAGGGGTTGGGTTTCTCTGGCACAATCTTAGAACATCTTCTGAATTGGCTTCTTTTTCTTCTTTGACCTGAGTCTTTTGAACATTTTTAAGAGACTAAATACATCTTCTTTTGCTGTAGTAATGCTCACATGCACCCTTCTCCATTTGGGAAATAAATTGAAAAGACAACATCAGGAAAGCTAAATTCATGTAATGCAGCATTCCCCAATCCCTTTTCCTACTCCTTTTTAAAAATCATAAAATCGTAGTGTTGAAAGAGCCCATTTAGACCATCTAAAGACTAATCCCCTGCATGCAGGAGGTTAAGGCATCTTAACAGATGGCCCTCCAACCTTAGCTTGAACATCTGCACCAGAGGGGAGCCATGTCTTCTCTGGAGAAGTGCTCCACTGATAAACTGCTCTTCTCATGAAGACTTTTTTCAACATTCAGACTATGCTGCTCTATAGAAAGTGACGTGTATAATCCCATCTTTGAAAAAGACAGTAGCTGGTGAATCCAATCTACTCATAACCATCATAAGACAAGTGTGTTATAGATACTTATCCATAGCTATTTATTGTGTAGAGTCAGGATTTTGGCCTACACTTTGACATACAACCCAACTACTATGTTAAAATCATTGAATGAAAACTGATATTTTTTTTTGTCATGGACTTATGACCAATCACCTAGCATTTAAGACACTCACTGAAGCAATCCTATCTCAACCACAGTCACAACACTGGGTACTGTCCACCAACTATGCAGGCCTACACAAGACCTTAACATCAGTATAAAGAGGAACCACCAAATTAGATTCAATAAAAACGGTCTAATGGCCATTGGATTCTGTTTCCCCATTCCATCTACACTTAATAACACATCAGCTGTTGAAAGCCCCCTGAAGTCCGTTTCTTGGATGTGACAATGTCTCTTCGGTTTCAGAGCCTTTATATTGCTCTCACGAGCAATCAGCATGTAAAATATACCATATTTTTCAGAGTAAAAGATGCTCCGGAGTATAAGACGCACCTTAGTTTTGGGGGAGGAAAATAAGAAAAAATAAATCTGCCACTACCTACCAGCATCCATCGGTATTCATCTGGCTAGTGTCCTGTCAGTGTGTGAGACTGTTTCAAAACTGAAACAGTATTTGCTGTGTGAGCAACAAGGAAGGAGACAGCAAGGAGCCTGGGAGTGGCTTAGGTCAATTGTTCTAAAGCTGTATGCTGTGCTGATCTCTGAAACTAAAACTGAAACTCTTCTCCTCTGCTTGTGTTTTGCTTGCTGCTGCAAACTCTGACAGTCCTTGCAGCAAATAGCGAACAGCCAGGTCAGCTTAAGCACATTATTGCAGCCTGATTCAACATGAGCAGCTGATTGGCGGGTGGGTGGCTTCCCAGAATACCCCCAATCAGCTGTTCCAGGCTGGAGGGATTGCCATAGACCATCGCCTCCTCCGTGCCTCGCATTTTTGGCTACATTCGGTGTATAAGATGCACCCAAATTTTCACCCTCCTTGAGGGGGGGGGAATGCATCTTATACTCTGAAAAATATGGTAACTCTGAGAAATACTTGCAAACTCTTGGTGCAAAGGAAGTGCTGAAGGGTTCAGTGAATGTCCCTGAAGTATTCCACACATTCTATCCAACCTAGCAGTTCTCTATTTATGAGTCCATAGAAATATGCAGATGGTAAACTTCTTGCAAAAACTTGTACCAAAAATAGCCTCATGCGTACATCTCTATTTCACTGCCAAAAAGAGCTCTATGCACACACCTCCACTGCTCAGGAGAGAGTGACCCTATCCAGTCAGCATCAAAGCTTTGCTCATGATCACCAACTGTGCTTCAGAGTTCCTGTGCATACAGGGAACCAGTAGCTTGTCAGAAGGAGGTTCTAAGAATTCTGATCACATTGGAATTGCAACAGAAATTTGATTAGGTTGATTGAATTATGGGATCATGGGAAAGCAGCAACTAGCAGAGGAAAACAGAGAGCCAAATGGAAAAAGTAGAGGACTCAATCTTTAAATCTCTTTACAAAAGCCTATATATAAAATTGAATATGGGAAGTGGGAAATCATTTCAGGTGGGTATGTATTATTTAAACCTAGCCACAGATGAAAATCAAAAACTATTATCAGCTCTCTGCCCTTTATTCTTAAATGCCTGGTTTAGGATTCTAGTCCATACAAGAAGCCCTTTGTTGTTTTATATAGTAAGGAGAGAAAACAATAATGAGCACAGCACAGCATGCTGACATGAAAATAAAATAAGATGTGGCTGGATAGAGGAATAGTCAGAGTAGCATTTAGTATTTGTTTAAAATCAAAACTAATAACAGAAGTCTATCTACAGAGAGTGCTGGTGGAAGGGAATGGCATTCACAGAAAATCAAAAGCTGATAGAAAATCAAGAGGAAGGCTTCAGGTAAGGCATCACAAGAACAACCGTAAGATTAAACAGAAGGGGATGCTGCCCTTCTTCCCAACGGTTGCTACGCTGTATTACAAGATTAAATGTTATTAAACTGGATGGTATTTGTGCCCTGCAAATACCTAGAATTGGCATTTTGCTACTTCATGTTAAAAGATGGTGGAAGAGCCATAGTTCAGTGATAGAGGGCACCCATGTCAATCCCAGACAGTTTAAGTTAAAGGATGCTGGACAGCAAGATTAGGAAAATCTATGGACATAGACATAGAGCAGACTTTCACAAGGCTTCATGACAAATCATGTCACCTAGTTTAGAGCTGCTTCTGCTTCAGATTCATCTCCCTATCAGAGGATGGCCACTGAACACTGAAGTGGTTTATTCAGATGCCAAACATGGAGCTTTAGGAAGAGGGAAAGACACGTTCTCAATCCTTAGAAGAAGGAAAGGGAACAAGCCTTGGCCCCTCACAAAGAACAGAACATTCATGTCCACACAGCAGCAAGCGGCAGCAGGCAGGAGTCAAGAAGGACTTGAAGAAGCAAGCATGTCCTTCCCGATAGATACCTTCTTCTTTGCCAGCAACAAGTCTTGGTAAGCATTGGAACGGAGGAAACGTGCATAGCTGTCACTCTTCATCAGCTTGTAAATATGTTCCTGTGGGAAAGGAAGAAATGACAGGGTGAGATTTGTTGTTGGACACTGTTCAACAATCTCCAGGCACCTAGGAGGAAAAAAAAGTGAAATATCAAAGCACAAGTGAACGGTTCCCCCCAAATTTCTAAAACATGGTGATAGATGTTCCACAATGGACTATTAGCCAGGTAAAAAGAAACCTTGGCATGGCTTTGTTCCAGGAAGGAAGGAATGATTATTTAGGTAATTGAAGATTTCTTCCATCTTTCAATCCAAAGGACTAAATAAAAGTTTTTATATATATATTTTTGCACAATACTGCCTTTCAGATGTTCATTTTTAGTATTCAGAATCTCTAATGCAGATTAGAACCATCTTAGGTGAGATAGTAGGATTCTAACCTCTTGTTCTCCACTAACCGTATTCATACAAGAAACGTGTCCTGGTTACCGAATTAAGACCATTTAAGAGGTTATGTGACTTTAAAAAATTAGGTGGAGGTGACACGTGCACACTGATGTCTGCACAAAACCATATGGGGCTTAGTTAAGGTGTACAAGAAATAGGGAATTGGTTTTGACAGTGAAAATGAAATAATTTTTGCAAGTTATGGCTAAATGGCAAAAAAACTAAAGCAAATAGGTGGATCTGTGTACTATGTTTGCTAAAGAGGGGGAAATGGAGCAAGAAATGTTAAGGCAGGCAAATGCTGACAGAAAAATAAAGCGGAGTATGTGGTTCAGTACAGTATTGTATTACTGTGAATAAATATTTGTTGAAAGAAGTTAAAATGCCTGTCTATAAGAAAGTGGGTTTGCCAATTTTTGTTATCTGGAAATGAGATTGAATGAACTGGAATGCAGCATTTACGAAGACTGTAACTGAAATGGATACTGGATGATTACGGTCTGAATGCAAAAGTTTGGGTCCAGTATAAAAGAAATATGTTGAAGTGGTTTGGTTATATAAACAAAATTAATGAGAATGAATTGCAAAGCCATTTGAATGAAAAGTAAATGGGTTGAGAGGAAAGAGAAGACTGAATAAATCATGGTTGGATGGCGCTGAAGAGATATCATCATGAGCCATGTAGCATTCGAGATTAAATTAGCATTGGTCTACCATGCTACTATTCATAGTCCTAGAACAATACTCATAATATAGGCATCCTAATATTCTTAATACAATTTGCACAACTGTTTGACCAATTTCCTATGATATTACAAGGACCGGCCATCTGGTACTTTAATCTAGATTTATAGATTACAATTTACATGAGTTCCACCTAACATGAGAAGAAGGTTGTGATCATGCTATAGCTGAAAAATTGCTCTATGCACATTATTATGTTGAATCTCATTCTAGCTTTGAATAGGCTCTAGGGCAAGTGATTTTGGATAGCACTTTTTGGTCTGAAAAGTGGATATAGAATAGAATAGAATAGAATAGAATAGAATAGAATAGAATAGAATAGAATAGAATAGAATAGAATAGAATAGAACAGAACAGAACAGAACAGAACAGAACAGAATAGAATAGAATAACAGAGTTGGAAGGGACCTTGGAGGTCTTCTAGTCCAACCCCCTGCCCAGGCAGGAAACCCTACACCACTTCAGACAAATGGTTATCCAACATCTTCTTAAAAATTTCCAGTGTTGGGGCATTCACAACTTCTGCAGGCAAGTTGTTCCACTGATTAATTGTTCTAACTATCAGGAAATTTCTCCTTAGTTCTAAGTTGCTTCTCTCCTTGATTAGTTTCCACCCATTGCTTCTTGTTCTATTCTACCCTCAGGTGCTTTGGAGAATAGTTTGACTTCCTCTTCTTTGTGGCAACCCCTGAGATATTGGAACACTGCTATCATGTCTCCTCTAGTCTACATTGATGTGATAACAGCAATCTAACCATGCTGGATCTTTCCCAACCTTTTTATTTTTCCTACTGCTATAATTTGACATGAACTTAGATGCATTAAGAGAAATTGAAAGGATGGTTAAATGCAGTTGTTCAAGAGGAGTCAGGACAGGCATCAGTTGTTGTAGACCTTTACAAGATGCTGTAGCCATACCAGCCATGGCAGATTTATTGATTGTCTAAAGAGCAATATATGGAGTAATCTTTAAATAACCTTTAAATAAGTAGGTTGGCCTAAGACCATGATGGCAAACCTATGGCACGGGTGCCACAGGTGGCACATGGAGCCATATCTGTGGGCACATGAGCGTTGCCCTAGCTCAGCTCCAGTGTGCATGTGTGCACTGGCCAGCTGATTTTTGGGCCTTCCAAGCCCACTGGAAGTCAGGAAATGGGCCCTTTCCGGCCTCCAGAGGGCCTCTGGGGGTGGGGTGGGGAAGGCTGTTTTCATCCTCCCCAGACTCCAAGAAAGCCTCTGGAGTCTGGGGAGGGCAAAAAATGGGCCTACCGGGCCTATTGGGCCCACCATTAACCTTTTTGCCGTCATGTGCCAAAAGCGGGGGTAGCACGGGGGGTTGTGTGGTTATGCACGGGGGTGCGGGGTGTCATTGAATTATGGGTATGGGCACGCAACCCCCCCCATGCTCCCCACACTTTTGGCACGCGATGGCAAAAAGGTTAGCTATCACTGGCCTAAGAGATAACAGGCAGGCAGTTGCCATGGAAGTTCTATGTAGTTAAGGCTGAAGCCCTTTTTAACCCCAGTCTTCCTAGTTCCAGTCAAAAGTTCTAATCAGTGTTCCAATCTGGCCCCAGCTTTGTTGTTTGGACAAGTTGTCTGACATGTCTCTCCTTGTTCATTAGTGTACTAATGCATGTAGATCCATTTGATGAATAGCTACATGCACAGACCTATATATTAATTTTGTGTACATCTGGGAACCGGTAAACAGCAACTCTCTTAAATAGATTTTAAAATGGATTTATTCTAAATTGCTTACCACTTTATTAAGCTTGGCATGTTAATGAAGAAAAGGCCTAGAAGTAAATCAACAAATGGCTTGGAGACAGTTTCAGAGTGCAAAGTTTCAGCGACACTTTTTTTAGACAAAATGTTGACTGAAGTATGGCAGTAATGGTTTTCACATGAATACAATTTTAGGAGGGTAGCTGCAATCTTCTTTGGAACCCACTGAGAAGGACATTCAGCTGTCCCTGGCTCAGCATTGCTCCTTTTATCGGACCTGATGGATCTTCCGTCTCCAATGGCTCCAATTTGAATGACGACTTCAGTAATAGCTTAGTCTCCCATATATTATGCACTCGGTCTGTAGCTAGAAATATATTATCTTGTGATAATTCACTATATTGGCCTATGGAGCTGGTTGTATCTGCTGATATGAGATATTTTACCATATCACATATCAGCATGTGGAGCTTGCAGTTCATATGAAGAAGAAGCAATTAGTGTTTGAAAACAGAGGGAAAAACAGATGAGGAGACATAAGCAAATGCTTTGGAAAAGGATTCCCTGTGAAACAGGTGAACAACAATTTAATGATTCTGCTTCCACAATTCATGAGAATAATTCTAACACAATCACAAAGTAATAGGCTATCATTTTATCATTTAAAGTGATAGTGTATATCTATCTATCTATCTATCTATCTATCTATCTATCTATCTATCTATCTAACTAACTAACTAACTAACTAACTAACTAACTAACTAACTAACTATAACTATGGTAGTACTGAGCCATTGATCCTAGGGTTATACAGGGTTAAATTCTTATAGGGCTCTAGTCACAATATTTTTGTCAACTATTCAATACATAACCTTTTAAAAATATGTTTAATGACATATCATTTAATGTATACATTTATTACAAATTAAAAAAGTCCGAAAAACCCCTTACTTTTGATGGCCATTTTAACCAGCAAAATCACTAAGAGAAGACAGACATGACCATGAATAACTAAAAAGGCATTGCAAATATTGATTTTTGGGTTTCAAAGAAATTGTAGCGTGTAGGCAAATTTGCAAATATAGAACCCACAAATTATAAAGATTGTCTGTATTTGGAGACCTAGATCAATCTGTCTATCTATCATCTTGAGATATTTCTATATCTCAAAACTGTCACACGTGTGCAATTCTTACTATGTTCAGCCAAGAGCCCATTGAGAACCACATCCAGGCTAGGCAGATGCCTCCGGAAAAATTCAGCTGAGCTTAATGCAACTCGTCTTCTTTTCACGGTTTCCTCCCAACATTTTCCCACTTAATTTCTGTGGGTCATTTATATATTTTTCTCCAACCCTTTTAAAAAGACACTGACAAACAAATACACATTAAAACACCTGCAGAAAATAACAGGTTGAATTCACACTAAAAGCATATGTTTTTATCCAATTAAAATATGTTTAAAACTAAAAAGCAGAATTTAAAATATAGCTATCAAATGCTGACAGATGTTTAACAAAATATTTATTACTTCAGGGGGAAAAAGCATTCCTTCCCTTTCTTCCTCTTTCAGCCTTTTGCTCTGTTCCTCAGACAATTAAGCCTTGAATATGAATGAAACAAAAGAGATTTTCTTTTCCTTCCTTTTTGCTTTACAATAGGCATATCACAGAGTGGAGTCCTTGGTGTTCTCAGAGCTTGATTGTTGGCAAGCTTGCAAGCAAACAACCTCGCTCTGTGAGCACCAAGGACTCCACAGTTCAGCTCTGAGCTACAGACATTCTCTTCTGTTGAACATCACAGAGTCCTGAACTACATAAAGACACTCCTAAAGCAGTGGAAGTGTCTGATCCAGGGGTGTTGAAGTGGTGGCCTGCGGGCCAGATGCGTCACTTGTAGGCCACACCCACCCCAGCTCCACCAATGGAAAAAACATCGCAAAACGTCACGTGACAGCAACGTGAAGCCATGGGTTTGACACCGGTGGACTCTGACAATGGTGGGTTGCCCCCGGTTCGGACCGGTTCTATAGAACCGGTAGTAAAACTGGCAGGAGGCTCCGCCCACTTATCCTGATGTCATCAGAAGCAATCTGTGCATGCAATCCCATTGTGAACTGGTAGTAAAGGTAAGTAGAAC